CCTATGAAATTCGGAAGTCCAACACCATCTCGAGTTTTTAAAAGATCACTTAAGACGTACTTGTTTACTAAATTCAGTAATAACGGATCATTGTTTTTATAGATTTGTATATATTGCGTTAGGTTTAATTTTTCCCAATTTTTTATCATTATGAATATGGTGTAATAGTTGCTTTAGTTTTAATTTTTTCCTTTTTTACCCATTGTAAATGTAATAGGATATGGTTGTAAATTTGTAAATATTTTTCAATAATGACTGTAAAGCGCCTTGAACATAGGATAAGAGCGCTATAGAAATAAAGTTATTATTATTATTATTATGACCGTGTTCGCGTGCGTGAGGTGCTCAGTCCAAAAGAATCGGATGTGTTCACGGACATGGCACGGTGTCTTTTGAATTTCACGACTCTACAAAAGCTACTCACTAAAACAAAGGCACGTTTAACGTGCATGAGCTATTTTGAATGTTTCAATGCAACCTTAATGCTACAGTGTAACCTTAAAAGGAGTGATGAATCTATCTTTTTCATCCTAAAGGGAGACTCGGTTTTTGTGAGAAATTGGGTAACGCGAAACGCTCAGCTGAAGTCGATCCTCATGCTATATATTCACTTTCCTCTGTCTTTCCCTGATACATCTGGTGCAAGTTAAACAAATTGATAAAGTACAATAAATGTCAACTCACCAAACGTGCCAGCCAGAAACCGTCCTGCTGTGTGCCTCTTTTTGATTGGATGTCGTTAACAAAACGGTTAAATAATAACTGATTTAAAGAAGACTTGGTAAGCGTTTATTGTCTAGCGACATCCAGTCAAAAAGAGGCAATCAGCAGAACGGTTTCTGGCTGGCACGTATGAATCTTGCTACGCATTTCGACCGTTCAAAAACTGTGGATCGCAAGTGAAATCATCCACGCTCTGCGGAAAAGGAGGGCTGCTGGCTCAAAGCTGAAGAAATCTCCTACTGACCATCAACAACAGAATTATCGCGAATTGCGTGCAAAGGCTAAGACTCTTATACGTGAGAGCCGTGAGATCCGTGAAATCTCGCGCGGCAGCCCATATGCCTTTGGTCCTTTTCTAAGCTCAATAATAAAACGCAGACCTTCCCTGAGACGATGAGCTCGGGCGATGACAATCGGTAGGGCCCTTGAGCATCAACACCTCAACAGATCACCGAGCTGTTTAACTCTTACTTTGTGTCGTCTTCACTCCCCCCTCAGAGGTTCGCACTTTGTCAGCACCTTTCACGCCCTCACACCCCACATTAAATGAGCTGGAGATCCCGGAGGAAATGGTTTTGACATTTCTCAAAGAGCTTGATATAAACAAAGCAACTGGATCCGAAGGAATTCCAGTGCGTCTGCTGAAGGTAACCGCTGACCAGATCGAACCGTCCCTGACCATGTTATTCAACAAATCCTTGTGGCTCGGCATTTTTGCGGGGGACAGGAAACTCGCGAATATTGTACCTATTTTCAAGAAAGGAAAGAGAAACTTTGTGGCGAATTATCGCGCTATTTCCCTTCTCCCTGTCATCTCCAAAGTTCTTGAGCGCTGCGTTCTGGCGGGTCTACGGCATCACATGTCCCACCTAATCAGTCGCGAACAGCATGGCTTTTTAGCCGGTAGATCTTGTTTGACTCGGCTCACCAGTGTCTTACATTACATTGGCGGTCAACTCGACGCCGGTAAACAAATAGACATCACAAATCTTGACATGAGTAAGGGATTCGACAAAGTGGATCACACCAAGTTACTTGGAAGGTTGCACCAATACGGCATTACTGGCAAACTTCACAACTGGTTCCGCTCATACTTACAGTGACGCAAGCAACAGGTTACAGTTCTCGGGGCTACTTCCCGAGAATTGCCGGTTACATCCGGGGTACCACAAGGGTCCTTACTAGGGCCGATATTGATTCTGTTGTTTGTGGATGATCTACCAAATACTGTTACACATCGAGGGTTGCCTATTACGCCGATGGCACCAAGATTTTCAAGAGCATCGATGACATCAAAGACTGTAATGCCTTGCAATCTGACATTAGTGATCTTGTCAGTTGGTCCGAATCATCTGCGATCATATCTGATCAGCCCAAGTGTAAAAACCAGTGTATCACCAGCAAAAAATCATTTGCACAGCCCACCTATATTATCAACGAAACGCATTTGGAATCTTGCGATACAGAGGAAGACCTTGATGTGTGGGTGTCAAGCAATCTTAACTCAGACAAACAAGTGACTAACAGTAAGCGAAAGCCAACAAACTCCTCGGCTTTGTGCGCCGAACTTCTGGGTACATCCAAAGCACCCAAACGAGTCGTACACTTTATGTTTCTATCGTCCGGTGCCATTTCGGCTACGCAACCCAAGTACGGTCGCCAGAGTCCATTGGCTTACTGAAGCGAAAAGAAAACGTGCAGCGCCGTGTTACAGAACTAGATTTGAAGCTTCCCTTCCGTTGCGATGTAACCTATAAGACCCGCCTCCAACTAACAAATCTGTTGCCTATCTCATGCTGGCATGAAGTTTTGGATATGGTCTTTTTCTATACAGCTGTCAATAACGTAGTTTTCATAGACAGTGAAGCTCTGCCTACAACTAAACAATCAAGGAGATCTACCAGATCATCGAGCAGCAATGCTATTACTTATATCCCAAAGCGAAGTAGAACTGTTACTTATCAACGCTCGTTTTTCCATACGCGCGTGCAGCACATGGAATGTTCTGCCCACTGAGTTACGCACAAGTCACACCTCTTTAGCCTCATTTAAGCGTTCACTATTTCAATGTTACAATAAGGAGCTGGACCTGTACGACGTTGACGACATCAGAACCTGGAGAACAATCTGTCCCAAGTGCAACATAGCGAGGACTCTCCTGTGCCCACCGACGTGCTTCTTCTAGCAATTTGAACTTCTGTTTTGTTTCCTTTTGATTTTTCTTGTTAACATATCAGTAGCTTTAGTTATTAATTTTTTTTAACGATATTTTTAACAATTTTTTTTTAATTATCGAGGGATCCACTGTAATTGATTAGGCTGTAGTGGTCTCTCTGCCTAATAATTTTTATGTATTACGTGTAAATATTGAATTCTAGTTAGGCGAAGCTAAACAAATAAATACACCGCCATATTACCCTTTTAGAGATTGCTGATGAAACAGGAAAAGAATTTGACATGAAATCAAGAATCACTCGCATGTAGGTCATTTTTCTAAAAAATTACTTCTTAAATTACAAGTGCACTGTACCTGTGTGCTTTGAAGACTGAAACACAATCGAATCATCAACATCCCCAGATATTATCTTTTTTGCATCATAGATGCTGATGATACCATTGTCGCTTCCCCCAATCAAAAGGCCAGATGAGGAGCTAGAAGAATCCACTCCATGTGATCCCCAAATCAGTTTGTGGAACCTAAAGTAAATGATAGAAAAGCTGAGGTAAAGTAAAAAAGAATTCCTCAAGGTGAATCCACACAAAATCAAAAAATCACTAAAACATATTGAAGTGGCTTAGCCACACAGTATTTTCTGAACAAAATGTTAACGAAGCCGGAAAAGTTTCAGAAGTTGAGCAACGAACATGGAGATCTAAAATGTAAGCTTAGCGTTGTATACTAGACAATGTAAGCAAAGGTGTGGAAAGTGAAGGTCGTGCGTCGCGTATCAGCAATAAAAATTTACGATACCATCGATAGATCCGCCGTAAAAATTCATCGAAGAGTGTTTATTTCTTGTTGCCGTGCTAAAGCCTGTAATTTTTCCGGCCTCGTTAACATTTTGTTCTGAAACTTTCCTCGAGAAACTATCCTCGTTGAACGCGCTACCCAACAATGGCGATCGATAAGGAAAACTACGTCATGTAAGAAAACACCAGAGTCGCCCGGCTGCTCCTACTCGCTAACTGGCCAGAAAAAAATCAGAAGCAGGCAATTCAAACGCTTCTGGAACTGGTTCGGTAAGAGTAAGTGCCCAGGGTCTCTTCTCAAATTTTATAGTAAACTTTCACCACGAACATTTTATCGTGCCGACTAGCTGCCCCTAGGTCTTCGAGGATGCTTTGAAAGAAATATTACTTATGCATGTGCAGCTGCTTTTAAATTGAGTGACATTCGCTCCAAGGAAAACTCCTCGGCTCGCTCATGGGAAAACAAACGATGCTAAAATCGTTTTATTCATTACAACAACTAGATAAGTTACAAAATCACTCCCCCCTTTTTTTTGGTAAAAACGTCGTTCAACTACAGTCGAATCTCCACTGACAGCCACCTCTCTACAACGGCGACCTCTCTACAACGGCCACTTAATTTTGTCCAGGCGGACAGTCCTTACACTGACGCTTATCTAAACCTCTCTAAAACAGCGAATTCTCCACAACGGCAACGGCCACTAAAACGTGTCCCCAACTGCCATAATAACCTCTCGACCACAGCCAGCGACTAATCCTGCGAACCTTTCTCCTTTTATCACGTCAACTTTTTCATTTAGAACCTAATTTAAGCTTTTTGCGTCTTATATCTCTATATATTATTTAACATTCGATTATTACCATTATAGGAGACAGCAGGCATGAACTTAGCACAGTAAACATGTTGTATTCCTTAAAAAAAATTGTCATATTACACCCCATCCTCCCCATAAGGGCCACCTCTACACAATGACCACTTTCTTCTGTCCCCAAGGTGGCAGTTTTGGAGAGCTACGACTGTATCCTTAATAACAAGTATGAAAATATCTCTAAAAGCTATGGTGCGAAGAATATCAATTTTGTTATTGAGACGCAGTAGAAAACTGTCAAAGTCCAGGACGCCGTTGGGTACGCTTGTAGCAAAAACATTATATTTGGCGACAATCAAAGAGTAATTAAGCACTTCCCAGTTATTTGACTCTTTGTGCCAACCATATAAAATAGTGCTTTCAGATAAAGTCTGTTTTTGATTAAATTTTTCGTGCCACCAGTTAGACCTTGGATCGTGGTTTGACAGCAACTTAAGCATGACTGATCATATAAACAAGGCTTGTAATGCGGCATTTTATCATTTACATAACTTGAGACGTATTAAGAAATACCTGTCGAGAGATTCTTTAATTACTTTGGTTCATGCTTTTATAACCAGCCGTCTTGACTATTGTAATGGTTTATTGTTTGGCTTACCAAATGTGCAGATCGCTAAATTACAGCGTGTACAAAATGCAGCAGCAAGACTTATTCTTGGCATTGGAAAGTTTTCTCACATTACACCGGGGCTTTATGAGCTGCACTGGCCGTATTGACTATAAGATTTTACTTTTGACTTTCAAATGTATTTATGGCCTAGCGCCAACTTATCTTAGCGATCTTATTAGTATAAAATCGAATTCATTATATAATCTTAGGTCTACTGGTAAGCTCTTATTGGACCATCCCAAGGGAAAGATGCTTACAACATTGGGAGCAAGATCATTCTCAGCAGCAGCTCCGAAACTCTGGAATGAGCTACCTGTGGAGCTTCGTCAGGCAACATCACTTAACAGTTTTAAATCTCGACTTAAAACCTATCTTTTTAAGAAGTATTTTTATAGTTTGTAACTTAGTTTATTTTATTCTCACGGTAATGTATTTTCGTTTTCTTTTAAACATATGATTGTAAAGCGCTATTGATCAGCACATGTAAATACGCGCTATATAAATTGGTAAATTTTTATTATTATTATTATTAGAAAAACAAGTCCAAAACGAAGAGGATACACTACAGGTAATTAACATATGTTTTAGAGATTGACTTTCAAGGTTGCATAAGGGACAAACATCAGTATCAGTTATGCGCGCGCGGAAGACGCTAGATTGGGTAGGTAAAATATTGTGATAATTTTGACTTGGAACATGATCAGTTTTGGTTCTTTCAAGATTTTGAACCGGAGCATGTAGATGTAAGTAATTTCCTTTTTGGTGAACCCATGATCTAAAATTCTGCCTTCAGCAGTGGGTACTGAGAAGCTTTTGTCAAGTATGGTAGAATAGGCTTCTTTTGTGGCAAAAAGCTTCAAGGATGTTTCCCGCTTTTCAGATTCATCATGCACGCCTGCTTTGACTCGTAGTGCACTTTTCAATTCAGTTGGTATGGCTCTTAAAAGGCCGTAATAAGTGGTAAAAGGAAATTCAAAGTTATATTTCTCTTCCATTTCTGATAAAGTAAGAAATTTAAGGTTAACATTTAAAAGGTCTTCGATGCAACGAATTCCACTTATACACCAGGATTTAATAGAAATCGGTTTTCCATCAATACATATGTTACGGTTGTTCCAAATTATTTGTTTTTTTATGGAAATTTGCTTGTCACAGGTTAGTTTCCTGAAGTCATGACAGTAATTTAAAATGGCGTGATAAAATTTAAACTCCTGTAAGTTTAATTTGTGATGACGATGATTTTTTTTTCTTGGAAAGAACTTTTGAATACTTAATAGTATGTTAACTTTATCATTCATTCAAAACTTTGCTGCAAAAATTTAATCCAAAAACGATGGACAGAAAAACAAAAGCATTCACAGGAAAAATACCCTGTTCATGTCCTTCCAGGATCCAATTTTCAAGCAAAGAAGCATCCCCCATGAGAAAGCGTTGTGTGCCAAAATTTAGTACTTAAAAATTGTACACGGAGGAAATCATGTCCGAAAGTGCGGTTCATAACGAGGAAAGTAAAAAGTAACTCGTTGTGTGGATAGTCCCAAACCAAATTTATGAGCAAAATAAGCTAAACTTCCATCCTTCAAGCCTAAATGTACAACAGCTGTACACATTGTAAACAGAATATTTGTTACAAATCAAATGTTGCTGGACCTATCGAACTGTAGCTCCAAGACGGTATTAGCGTTTTAATGAAAACACTCTCACATTTTCTCATTCGACAGTTCGGATAAAACTCAAATTTGTGTAACATACAAAGCTGTACTAATGTACAACAACAATGAAATGTGGATCGATGGACAAAATCACCTTTCGAACAACGCACTTTAGCTTTCGATCCACTAGCTACAAGACAATTTACGCACCAAGACAATGGCTAAGAGTAATTCTTTACCTTTTTTATAATTTCCCTTTGTACTGAGTGACACGAGATTAAGTTGAACCAAGCGTGACCGTATTTTTCTGCCATAAACAGCTTTTAGCGCAGTGTAAACATGCGGAGATCACGCATCTAAATATAGTTTTTCCAGCAACAAAGTACACGCTAAGTCATATCAACAAAACAAAGCCCGAATATGTCTGTCCCTCTACTTTTTTTGTTGAATCCGTGAGAAGAAACTTGATCTAAACAGCAAAAACATTTTGGATAGCATTGTAATACGCTCTTCGATCAATAGTCGAATGTTATCGAATGTTAGATTCACAATCAAAGTCGAATTTGACACAAAAACGGGATGCACATTTAACAAAACTGTCGCTTCCGTGCAACTCGATACAAGCTAATTTATATACCAAAAGAAAGCCCAATAATGTTTCTTCCACTACTTTATAATTTCTTTTTGTACCGAGTTGCACGGAACATGCAGTAAAAAAAAAGAGCAAAAATTACCCACCTTTTCGGCATGTTTTCCACATGCAAACCAGCGATCTCAACGTCAATAACACTGGATCAGACCATGCCAATGCGATTTTTCGCCAGTTTCAGGACGCTGTATTCTCTACAGAACACACTTACGTCAAAACTTTGACCAAAATAATTTTTGATCTCTTACAGTGGCAAGAAATTGCAACGCTGTCACTGCCAAAAAAAGCTGTCATCGCTACTTTCATCTGAACAACATTTCGCGGGCATTTTCGCCTCGGAGCCAATGACATTACCCGAAATCGATCACGTGTCATTTTTAGTAGAGCATGCGCAGACATTTTTCGCCGGTGAAACAGTGAACAACAGTGAACATTTAGTGAACATTTCACCGGCGAAAAATGTCTGCGCATGCTCTACTAAAAATGACACGTGATCTATTTCGGGCAATGTCATTGGCTCCGAGGCAAAAATCCCCGCGAAATGTTGTTGAGATGAAAGAAGCGATGGCAGCTTTTTTTGGCAGTGACAGCGTTGCAATTTCTTGCCACTGTAAGAGATCAAAAATTATTTTGGTCAAAGTTTTGACGTAAGTGTGTTCTCTAGAGAATATAGCTTCCTAAAACCGGCGAAAAATCGCATTGGCATGGTCTTATTCAGTGTTATTGACGTTGAGATCGCTGTTTGCATGTGGAAGACATGCCGAAAAGTAGTGGAAGAAAAATTTTTGCTTTGTTTTGTTTACTGCATGTTGCACGGAAGTGACAGTTCGGTAAAAAAAGCAAAAAAAACTTTGATTGTGAAAAAAGTGGTGGAAGCGTATTACAAAAAAATGTTTTTGTTGGCTTTGTTTTGGTATATAAATTATTTTGTTAATATGAGTTGTTACTTTGTTGCTCTGTATGGCACCATATAGAAATTTGAGTTTTATGCGAACTGTCGAATGAGAAAATGTGAAAATGTTTTCATTAAGACACTTGGACCGTCTTGGAGCTACAGTTCGATAGGTCCAGCAACATTCTGATTTGTGAAAAAAATTATGTTTACAATGTGCACAGCTGCTGTACATTTAGGCTTGCAATTTTATAATTGAAGGATCGAAGTTTAGATTATTTTGCTCATAAATGTGGCTTGGGATTATCCACACAACGAGTTACTTCGTTAGGAACTGCACTTATGGACATGATTTCCTCCGTGTACAATTTTTTAGTCCTAAATTTTTGCACACAAAGCTTTCTGTGGGAGGTGCTTCTTTGATTGAAAATTGGATCCTGGAAGGAGATGAACAGGGTAATATTCCTGAGAATGCTTTTGTTTTTCTGCCCGTCGTTTTCGGCTTAATTTTTTTTGGCGCAAAGTTATGAGTGATCGTCACAAATTAAACTTACAGGAGTTTAAAGTTTGGAGTAAACTTTGAGTCTTAATGAAATTTTAGTTGGATCATCTTGAGGAATGCAGTTGTGTAGGATATGCAGTTTCCAATTTTGATCTTCTGTTAGAATTATGAGAGAACACTCAAATACAGATCTCATTCAAACATTATAGTTTCATTGTAATTATCATTTGTTTCTTTTTCTATAAACTTATCATCAGGTCTACATTTTGCATGAATTTAATGTGATATATATTTGAAGGGGCTGTTGTTTCACAGTGAAGTATTTTTCACTTTGTTTTTTTGATATGAAGTTGAGTTTCTTCTTAGTTGTTGGCTAAGGCAGTGTTGAAGTATCTGACATGTTAACATACTTTATTGTTCATTTCTCTGCAGAAAAGATTGATTGATCCTGAATCAAACAAAGTGCAGCTTCACAAACAAGATTTTTGACGAACAAATGTATACTCAAGCAAAACTCCTGTAAGTTTAATTTGTGAGGATTATTTTTTTCTTGGAAAGAACTTGTTAAATCTATCATTCATTCATAACTCTGCGCCAAAAAAAATTTAGCCAAAAACGATGGACAGAAAAACAAAAGCATTCACAGGAATATTACCCTGTTCATCTCCTTTCAGGATCCAATTTTCAAGCAAAGAAGCACACCCCACAGAAAGCCTTGCGTGCAAAAATTTTGTACTAAAAAATTGTACACGGAGGAAATCATGTCCATAAGTGCAGTTCCTAACGAAGTAACTCGTTGTGTGGATAATCCCAAGCCAAATTTATGAGCAAAACAATCTAAACTGCGATCCTTCAATTATTAAATTGCAAGCCTAAATGTACAGCAGCTTTGCACATTGTAAACAGAATTTTTTCACAAATCAGAATGTTGCTGGACCTATCAAACTGTAGCTCCAAAACGGTCCAAGTGTTTTAATGAAAACACTCTCACATTTTCTCATTCGACAGTTCGCATAAAACTCAAATTTCTATATGGTAACATACAAAGCTGTTATAACGTGCAACAACAATGAAATTTGCATTGATCGACAAAATCACATTTCGAACTACGCACAAATCAAACTAGTTAAGAATCTCGGTGAAAAGATACTGAATTACTGTAAATTAATTCCTAAGGCTATAAATGTCCTTGAGAAAGTATATTTGGTTCAGTTAGTTTAAGACCATGGTAATGACACGGTACTGTAAATAATTATTACCTGTTAAATCCTAGGGTGTGGGTCACATGAGCAGTAACAAGAAAACATATTTGTAAGATGGTCTAAAACATTATCAAACAAACTGTACGACACACATTACAGTAATTTTAACTATGAGCGTTTTGATCATTCTTAGTGTACTGATGTATTAGCTAAATATGTGCACTACAAAAAAAACAGTCAGTATCAAAACTATATTTCAACAAAGCATTTTGGAAAGTATTCTTAGAGTTGCTGTTTCTGGGGAATAGTGCAGGGCTGTCAACAAAGGCATGTAGCCAGCCAAAACCGCTGGCTAGTTAGCCATCCTTCACTGGCTACTTTCATCTCCTCCTACCACAGGATCTAACAAAAAATAAGTACCATCCAATAAAATTGCAAAGCATCTGTTTCCCAGGTTTGAATCTAATTGAATGCATATTTAAACAGTAATTAGATCTGTGAAACA